GTCCACCGTAAGCAGCCGGGGCTGGTGAGAGCCTCTGCCCCCTGCAACAGCCCCGATGTTCCCACATGGCCCTGGGTCCCCCCTGCTTTGCCCCACGCCCCTCGTCAGCCCCAGGCCTATGTCCCCCTCCCCCCTGATTCGGCCCCCTGCAGGGCAGCCAGCCTTTCTGGCCAGTCCTCGCCCCCATCTCCCTGCAGGCTGGGCCCACAGTGACACCTTCCATTGGTGAGCTGCCTGCCCTGGTGCCCCTGTCTTGCCCAAGCCACTGCTCCCCCCACCTGACACTGTGGCCCTATGACCCCCAGGGCCGGGCTCTGCCCCTCCATCTGCCTTGTATCCTCAGGCACGTCTAGGGCAGCCTCTGCCCCCCGTCCTCTTTTGCAGTCCCAACCTCCTACTCACCTCTCCCAGACCTGCAGACCCACATGGGCAGAGATTGACGCTCCCAGACCTTTCTGGAGACCCCCTGTCTCTTAGCCCCATGCCCCCTGCATGCTCTGGCATCCTGGAGTGAACAGGGCCAGACCCTGCCTCTTATCCCCTGCCTGGATCCCTCCCACTCTGCGCTGGGCGCCCCCACTCCGTCTCTCTCCATTCACACCCGTGTCTCTGTCTCCCCCAGACGCCCCCCAAGGGGTCCATGTTACGGCCGCGCCGGGCCCCAGCCTGCGGGAAGGGGAGTCGGTGACGCTAAGGTGCAATTACACCAGCAGCCTCCCCACCCCCACCTCCTACGCCTGGTACCGGAATGGCAAGAAGCTGAAGGGAATCCGGCAGGAAATGCCACTGAGAAACATCATGGCAGAGCATGCTGGGGAATATTGGTGCAAGGTCGTCAACGAGATCGGCCAGTCACAGTCCCCCCCCATCAACATCACCGTGCAGTGTAAGTGCTGGGGGCCTGGGAGGAGACCTGTGGGAGGGGGAGGGCTGCTGTCAGCCACGGGCCCAGATCCCGCCCTCACCCCCTGTTTGGGTGCCCGCAGCACGGCCAGTCCCCACCCCAATCCCCCTGTTGGCTGGGCCCTCAGTGACAACTTCCATTGGTGACAGACCCGGCCAGATCCGGTCACAGCTGACGGTATCCACTCAGGGAAAATTGCTCAAAACCAGGGCTCCTCACAGCCCCAGACCGGAGACCTTCCCAAACAGGCCACAAACCAGTCGCACCGAGCGCTTCAGCTGCCAATCTGACCAGCAGGAAGCCTCACGAGCAAAACCCCTTGGACGTCCCAGCTCTCCCTGTGCCACAATCAGCCCCGGGCCTAACACAGGTGAGGGGTAACAGAACCCAATCCCACCTATCCCAAAGGGGTTCTTCTGGTCCCAAGAAACCAGCCACAGTTCCCAGTCAATTTAAACTCTGGATCTTACCCACAGAATCACACTGGGCCGATCCTTTAGAATCTACAATCTAAAGGTTTATTAGCAAAAGAAAGAAAAGGTTGAGAGTAAAGTTAAGGAGAATACATCACATGCACCAATCAGCAAGTTCCTGATGCAGACTCTTAGCAGAGATGTCACAAACTACTGGCTTTAAAGTCTCTGGTGCACATACTGCCGACTACGCCAGTTCACCGGGGCCAGGCCCTGCCCCTCACCCCCTCTCTGCATCCTTCCCCTCTCTGGGCCCAGCCCCCCATGCTGTCTCTCTCTGATCACACTCGTGTCTCTGTCTCCCCCAAAGGGGTCCATGTTGTGGCCGCGCCGCGCACCATCCTGCGGGAAGGGGAGTCGGTGGCACTAAGGTGCGATCACAGTAGCATCCTCCCCGCCCCCATCTCCTACGCCTGGTATTGGAACGGCAAGAAGCTGGAGGGACCCCGGCAGGAATTGCTGCTGGAGAGCATCACAGCAGAGCAAGCTGGGGAATATCGGTGCCAGGTCACCAACGGGATCGGCCAGTCCCAGTCCCCCCCCATCACCATCACCGTGCAGTGTAAGTGCCGGGGGGCCCCGAGAGGAAATCTGCAGGCAGGGGAGGGTTGGAACTCTGCCCCCCGCAGGCCCAGCAGAGGATGGTCATCACGGAGGTCATGGGGGATACAGGGCCCCCCAGCACCAAGCTGGCAGCAGGGCTGGTGCGTGCCCGGGGCGCATGAGCAGGGTCAGCGGGAACCCAGCACAGCTTGATTTCCCCTCTTGGGTCCAGCCCTGGAGCTCCTCCGGGGGCACTGCTGGCAGGGTGAGGCAGAGACGCTGCCGTAGGGGAGTGTCCCGGAGCGGCGTCTCTGGGCTGCACTGAGGGCAGATGAAGGGGTGATGATGATTAACTCTTCTGGGGGGCTGGGGCAAATGGATTTTGTGGGGTTCCCAAGGCTCCAGGGTGGAGTCAGAAGCAGGGGTGAAGTGAGGGCAGGGACTGTGTGTTGAGGCAGGGGGTGCAGTCTGGCAGTGATGGGGGCTCTGCCTGGGGTGGGGCTGGGAATGAGCGGTTTGGGGTGCAGGAGGTGGCTCCTATAAGGGGGTTGGAGAGTGGGAGGAAGCTCTTGGCTGGGTGGGGGTTGGAGTTCCCAAGGCTCCAGGGTGGAGTCAGAAGCAGGGGTGAAGTGAGGGCAGGGACTGTGTGTTGAGGCAGGGGGTGCAGTCTGGCAGTGATGGGGGCTCTGCCTGGGGTGGGGCTGGGAATGAGCGGTTTGGGGTGCAGGAGGTGGCTCCTATAAGGGGGTTGGAGAGTGGGAGGAAGCTCTTGGCTGGGTGGGGGTTGGAG